TCAATTACTGTAATTTCATTGGAATACCACAGTCCTAGTCTTGTGCTGGAACTTCTTTAAACAGCTCTCACAGTCATTAATATCAGAGTATGTTCTCTGAACTTATCCCCCTTTTTGCCACCTGATTGGGCGTGTCAGGCAGTATGAGTGTGTCACCGTCAAAGCCGTTCTCTGCCTTCTTGTTGAAGCGCGCATGCGACAAAAAGTGGTAGAAAACGAGTAATACGAACGATATGATACAGTCATATCACTTGCTCGCTTTAACAACTGGTGGAGAACGGGTTTGGCACCGCGCCAAACTCATCCCGCCTGACACGCCCAACCGTCCGCAGCGAACTACACTATAGGTTCTCACTGAGCCTCGAAAAACGTTTATGATCACTCACTTCCAATAAGTTTGACTCCAACATCTACAGTAACGGGTTTACCCGTCATACAGCGGGTGATGTCTGGCCCTGATGGGTTGACTTACTTTCTAACGATATCCGTCATAGCTGCTCCATAGTTGTTTTTACGAACCATTGGTAAGCGCCACGAAGCCTTTTGTTGTCAAATGCGCTAAAATAATCCAACATAATCTGAAAAATGCAACACACTCATGGGCTAGTCGGAAGGTCTCAGCCTCTCATCTTACTAGCAGCGCTATTAAATCCCTTTTTTAGCATGAAGCTCATGTCTCAAAGAAAGTGTCTTTAGTTTAGCTACATCTTTCTGAAGAGGTGAACCTCACATTATCGCTCAACAATGAAGATATCGTCTCATTTTGTACAGTACGTGCTCGCGAAGGAACCGAATTCGGCAATATGGAATGGATACAGGTAGGTCCCTTTCAGTCGATACCTAAATCTCCAGCTAACGTGCGTGACTGCAAAACCCATAAGGATGTGAAGCCACCTGAAAAAATGGCCGCAAGGGGGATCAAAAAGGCGCCCTGCGTCCGACCACCAACGAGTCACTAGTATGGATAAAATCCGCGGGTGGCTTGATCGCCTGCCCTAAAGCTTTTATTTGGAGGACAAAAATATGGGGTTACATATGCCAATTCGATTATATAGGCCCGTAAATCCCTTTCCCAAACGCAGTGTGTACGTTTGATGTTAGTGGGATGTTGCTGAATACGTGCACTTTTCTCACCTCCGCCGGCCGCCCCTCCACCCAAATCAGTTTCCTGCCTGATACGATCGCTTCACAATTGATAGCTCTTACACTTTCCCGAGAATATTGCGCATCGAGGCTCGGGGAGAGACAACCTTCATTCAAGTGTTAGGTGATGGAGTCTGGCAGCTCATCCGCGACTGGCGCAGACGTGGGGAGGAGTTCCTTGCGCCGAGAACCATGAGGATCAACGATCACAAAAACTTAAGGCGGTTCACACCCAGGCAAATAGTTTCTCCCACTCGGTGCCAAGTTTGACCCGATCAGTGCTTCCTCTTCGAGCGCATCAAGCTATCGCATCCCAACGTACGACTTGTCCTGATCACAATGGCAGTAGGACTCCAAAATGACGCGACATTTCATAGAATGACATGAGCGCGTGGCGCGTGCCATTCTATAATATGAAATGCCTGTTAGCGGTAATCAGAAACTGAAAACTTTTGAATCTGCCTCCGCTCCAGAACTGCCTGTCCATCTTCTGCTTTTTGGTCCACTATTTGGCATCCCGATCGGAATGTAGGGGCTCTCGATCCGCTCACAAATAAACTGGAAAATCGCTGTATAGACTGTGTAAGATGTCTCGATCCTGAACAGAAGTCGGGTACACAGCGCATACTGGGAAAACCAATTAGTACCCAGTGATTCATTCATTCAACGTTTCTACTTATTCACAGTTATAAAAATTAAAGACAGGTCCAGGTAACAAAAAGTCGTTTTTAATGTCGTATCTATTACGGATCACTATCGAACATTCGACCGATTCCTCAACGCTTACCGTGAACGACGATGCCTGCTCCATTCATGCCCCGCGGAAACTTGCTCAACGTCCAGTTCAGAAATTCGTTAATGTGTTCACGGGTTCGTTGTGATTTTAATTTTCTTTTTTGGCAAACACTTCGTAGTAGCTAACTTTTTAAGGAGCATTTGAAGGAATATCTCACGTTCTTCTTAGGGTGCAGCCAGGCCCGCTGTGTCTCTTTCGTCGATGCGCCCTTCATTTGAAGGAATGTGAGAAGGAAAGGTGCTTGATCGAGGAAGACACGGCGGTGACCCTGGCTCCGCCCACACGCCAAGCGCGGAATTTGTCTTTAGCAAAATATGGGCAGCTTTTCAGATATTGTGATCATCCCGGTCGGTCTGAATTCACCAGCCGATCCGAAACCGTTTTTGTACACATTCATGGGTGGAATCGAAAGAGAAAGCCATTCAACTGGTGGGTTCTCCAGAAATAGATATGTAAACTACAATCTTGTTCGCTACGAATGATGTACTATTGAGTTTGGCATGCAGCCCATTTTCCATCAGTCACTGAAGCGGATGAGCAGCAACATTACTAGAAAACAACTGATAGCAAGGGTGATACAGTCTTGTCGCTTGCCGAAAGAAAAAGGTGAAAAAACGTGCTGGCGCTGCGCCAGGCCCATCGCCCTCATCCTCCGCTGCGAACAAGCTTCATTTCCTATGCTGTTGCCCAAACCGTGAGAGGTTTGGCGAATTTTTGATCAAAAATTATTTTTGAAACATTTTGGCAGTGAACTTAGTCTATTCTTGCTTTAGTGGGATTAAATTTGCTAGACCAAACGACCTTGACTTTCTTTCAAGTGATTAGTGAAATAATGGTAAATACGCGCTATATAAAAGCTCTCAAGCGAATATCTTGTATTTTACAGTAAATTCTTCTGTAAACGAAGCGTATGTATGCGGTAGATGGTATTCATGTTTTTTGCATTTCAGCGGTTCCCTAACATCCTTCAGCTCACTTCTACAGGAGAGGATTTATTAGCTCCCCTTCCGTTGTTCAACCAGTATCAGCAGTTCAACTGACGCTCCACGT